CCTTCTCAACGTACTCTCCCATAGTGATAACCCGTCCCTTGTCACAACCAGGTGTAAACTCCTCATCATCCTGAATCGAACCCGATACCTCTCGCTTGACAACCACCCGCTCTACCATCCTACCAATAAATGTGGTTGCAGAAAGCTCCAATAATCCCTAGGCGACAGGCCAAACCGTACATAGAGAAAACCTGCACATCTGAAACAAACAGAATCTTCACCGTGCGCAACAACCACAAAGATTCTCCCCTACCTAACATAGGGAGCTCCATGATAGTTTATCAGCTGACCCAAGACCTTGCTGTTGATTCGCATCACGAAAAGCCGATACAAACAACAAAACATCGTCGACGGTGCCGTATGGGAACTGACGTAGGCATGCAAAACCGAGCCGAAGGAAAATTCCGTCATCTATTTTCAGATTTTTTTCATTGATTATAATTTCACTACTCACCCAGGAGCATAAGGCTCGGCATCTTTGCATCGTGTCTTTATCTCGTCAATGATGGCCTCCGGAGTATCCAACCTGAACCACAATCTCAGCAACACATATACCCTACCCCTTCTTACGGTTGGATCGAATGATAATACGCCGACTTAGCAAGCTGCTGGTGTAACTGAAAATTATAAAGGATGACCATCACCCAAGGCGAAGGCCTATTTACCATCTGTGGGTAGTTATAGGTGGTAGTGTTAGTCAGCTGTAATGTTCCCATGATGGAGTCATTAACGTTAGCTGTTAGCAATGATTGCTGCTGTTTCAGCATCTCTTGCTCGTGTTTTACCTGATATGTGACAATTCGATTAACGGCTGATCGTCGAGAACTTAGTCCACAATGTCAGAATATGTGTTCGCTTTCCTCAGCAGGGTTCGGTAGTTTCCTAGGAGGGATATATGCTCGCTTTCCTCAGCTGAGCTCAGGAGTTTCCTATACAGTGTTGGAGTAGGAATATATGTTCGCTTTCCTCAGCTGAGCTCAGGAGTTTCCTATACAGTGTTGGAGTAGGAATATATGTTCGCTTTCCTCAGCTGAGCTCAGGAGTTTCCTATACAGTGTTGGAGTAGGAATATACGTTCGCTTTCCTCAGCTGAGCTCAGGAGTTTCCTATCCAGTGCTGGAGTAGGAATATATGTTCGCTTTCCTCAGCTGAGCTCAGGAGTTTCCTATACAGTGTTGGAGTAGGAATATACGTTCGCTTTCCTCAGCTGAGCTCAGGAGTTTCCCTATCAGTGCTGGAGTAGGAATATATGTTCGCTTTCCTCAGCTGAGCTG